TTATTTATTTAAAATTATTTTTTATTTTTTTTATTTAGTTCTTGCAAAAACATATTTCTGTTTAAATTTAGTGGTCGTCCTCGACGGGTTTTGCTGTAATTCGTCTTCTATAGTAATTTGAAAATGCACTCCTATTTGGTTGGATCCTTTCGGAGATGGTCGTTAAACTCGAAGGTCACGCCTCTGAAATAACATAATGATAGCGTTGCTAGATGCGTTAAAGCTACACCATTAAAATTTCACATTTCACCGAAGCGAAGACAAGTCATATAAAGCTGTCCCCGTCGGATTATGTGATTGTGCGGCCCCGTTTTTCCGCACAATTTTGCAACATTTGCATAATTTTGGATTCCCCGCGTTTGTCACGTTTAAAAATTATTTTTTTTTTTCCCATTTTCACAAAACATTTAAACAGAACTCCTCGCCGTGTGACTAAAGGGACATAAGCACAATGAAGTCTCATTTAAGTGACAAGTCGGTTATTTCCCTTGTTAGAAGATCTTGGGAGTTGGAGGGTTTATACGGGGTGCCCACTACAGATGGGATCGGACGATCGGCCCGATCGCCAGACTCGATCGCCTCAAAGACTCGTTCGTTTTCAGTTTCAGGCGATCTATACAGCTGAAAGTTACAGAGATTTTTTGGTTGTTGTTTTTTTTCTGACTGATATGTATTGTTTTCTTTCCTAATGCACAAAAAATACTGATACTGATATGTTCTGTTTTCAATTCTTCTGTACATAAAGCATGAACATTCTTGTTGAAAAAGCGCAAAACATGCCGTAAATGGCGTTACGGTAACCTGCATAATTTTGTATTTTTTGGGCATAATTTGGTCATCTAAATTTGCATACATGTAATTATGCGGAGATAGGCAAAGAGCCTTTCTCAAGGACACTGTCATGATTTTGGCCTTGACGTCAAGCGTACTAATCTAGTAACTCTATGTGTGCCACAGACTTAAGCAAGATTGTGTAACCACACGGTGGAATCAGGCGCTCGTCAATTTTTGGACGTGTGGAATTATTGGTATCACCTTAAAGCTATTTCATTTGTCTTGCTTTTGACGGAAAAAAATCCAGTTATCTTGAATACAAATCAAGGTATGTATTTGCAACTGAAATAGGCGGGGGTCGTCTGGTCTCAGAGGGGAAATTAGCGAGAAAATGGTCGCCACAGTTTAGTTATTTCCTTAGCTTGAGAGCCCGTGGAAACAGAAAATTAAATTTTGTATTCGTTTTTCCGTTTAATCCCCACATATATGTGTTACTTAATAGACATGGAAGGTGTTAAGGTAATTTTTTTTAAACTTTTAAAACCAACAAACAAAACAAACAAAAAACGACAAAAATCCCCAAATCTGTGGGAAAATGTCAGTTTCTTCATTTTCGTTTTGGGAGTTCTTATTTAGGCCACATATGCCTGAAAAGGGTAGTTTGAGCATGTGTGGCCTAAATAAGGTAAGGGAGGGGGGTTTAGCTTATTTAGGCCACATGTGGCCTAAATAAGGTCACCCTTTCGGTTTTTTTGGCGAGCGTCTGATTTCACCACGCTGCCTCAAATATTATTCTCCTTAACAATGCAGTGTCATGGTTACGTGTAGTGCGTGGTCGGCGGCTGCTCTGGTGGTGTCTTTTCCTTCTTCCCTATCAAACATCGATCGTCCTAAATTTATCGTTTTTCTTTCTTGTGTATGTTACTCTCTCGAAAACACCTCTAATCTTCAGCACTTCTTTTCTTGTATTATGATCTTATTGGTTTGCAAGCGCCGTAAAACACTAAAACTAAAAGGCTGTGCTCTTTGCTCCCTTTAAAAATCTATTTTAAAAGTGTGTGCCTTAATGTCAATGTCATCCATTCCCCCCTCCATCTGTCCATCTGTCCATCCATCCATCCATCCATCCATTCATCCATCCATCCATCCATCCATCCATCCATCCATCCATCCATCCATCACA